CCGCCGCCACCAATCGGAACCGCGCGCCGGGCCGGACAGCCAATAACCAAGGGGGAGGCGTGGCCCTGGGTTCAGCCCGGCCTCCGCAGCGGACGCCCTCGCGGTCCTAGCGCCTGTCAGGGAGCCTCGGGGTTAGGGAGAAGCTGGACTGTGGTTCATCGGGGGTAAATCAGAAGCCCGCAGCCCTTCCGCCCACCCAGACTCGTGCCTCGAGGTCCGGCCACCCCCGCCCGCCCGCAGCTTCACGAGGCTAACGTGGCCGGGGAAGTGAGGGTGGGATGGAGGCTGAGCCCGCCTCTGGGCAGGGTGACTTCCTGGCCCCAGAGGCCCAATGGGACGCGGAGAATTATTAGTACTAATTAATTAGTCATTACGGATAATAATGGGGCTCATCATTACCACACCAGCTGGCATTTAATGAGCGCCGACGGTGCCAAGCGCCCCACGTGGCGGAGGCCGGTCTCACTCCCACTTTAGGAGCCGGCGGGAGGCAGTCCCGGAGAGGAGCCCGGGGCTCTCGGGAGGAGACAGGGGCCCGCTCGGAGGCAGGTGCCTGGGGCCACTGCTTCCCCTCGGCCGGCCCTTCCAGGAACGCGTCACTGGACGCCAGAGATTTCCAGTCCCCCGAGGGCTGGGTGCGTCCCCTCTACCCCCAGGCCTCCTTCAGCGGTATTTTAAATGGAGTCAGAATCCTAAGTCCAGTCCTAACTGCGCTAGGCCCCGTCTCCCAGCTCTAGAAGGGGTACCGGGAAGCCCCCTGGGGTACTGGTCTGGGTCCGTGCTGCCCTCTCCCCACCTCCCCAGCCAGTCTGCCATTCGTGTAGGGTGGAGGCTGTGCGCAGCCTGGCCTCTGGTTCAGAAGCGGGAGTCCCTGTTGCTCAACCTCTGCCCCCATTTCTGGCCCTCTGCCGACGATTCCCGCCGCTCACTCATTCATTCCACTGATTTATTTTCTTTCTTCCCCATCCTTCACTGCCTTGTCCCCAGGATGCCTAGTCTGGCTTGAGGTGTGGCCCAGTGGGGGAGTGCTGGCCTAGTGTGGGAGAGGTCCTGGGGTCCGTTCTCAGCAGAGAGAAAAGAACAGAAAAGAAAAAAAGTCAGTGGGATGAGTGAAGGCAGGGGCATGGTAGGCAGAGGGCCAGAAATGCGGGCAGAGGTTGAGCAAGAGGGACGCCTGGTTTCTGAACCAGAGGCCCAGGCGGGCAGGCCAGGACCGCCCCACCCTACCCCAATGACCCCGACTCCCAGGCAGGTAGACCTCACCCACTCTTATTATCAGGAGGCTGAGGAGGGGTGGGAGGAGCGGTGGAGGCTGGGGAGAGACAGCCCCGAGGAGACCTGAGTGATGGCCTCCTGGGAGGCGAAGGGATAGGAGATAGCAGAGCTCTTCCCTCCCCAGCAGAGCCACCGCCCTCTGGACAGGACCTCAGCTTCTCACTCATTTGTTTCCCTTCCCTCCAAACGTGCAGGAGATTGGACACTTTGTACCCACTTAATGGATGTGAAAACCAAGGCAGAAACCCAAGTTGCTTGCAGGAGATGCCCCTGACAAGAGGCAGACCTGGGTCCATGCTCTGCTCTGGGGGACCTCCGGGGCCTCTGAGTGACCTGCTCACCAGGAGGGGAGGGTCACCTGAGAGTGTGTGCCTAGCCGGAGGCCAGTGTTCTGGGTTCCTTCAGGAGCCCAGCGGCAAGCCCAGAAGCGTCCCAGATTCAGCAGGGGGCATGTGGTGCCTGGGTGGGTTGAGGGCCAGCTGATGTTTCCTGGCCCTAACTGGGCGGGGACAGCAGGAGCAAGCTCAGCCTTGACCCAGGCTCTTCCATTCAGCTTCCCAAGGTCAGGTCACTGGGAGCCGGAGAAGGGCTGGGAGAGCACCTGGTCAGACAGTGGGGACCCCCCTCTGGCTGACACCCTCACCCCACCCTGAGGCTGGACAGAGGCCACCAGGATATCTGATCCCCAGCCAGGGAAGCGGGGAGAGCGTCAGAGGAAAAAGGCAATTGCTGGGGACAGTTTATTTTAAACTTTGGAAACCAGTGGAGAGGACACGTGCCCCAAAGAAGGGGTCAGATTGGGGTAAAGATCAGAGAAGACCCTGTCTAGGAGGAGGCGTGCCAGGAAGGAGAGAGAAAAACCCAACCGGCCCCTGGAGGGAGACGGCCTCCAACAGAAAGGCCTGGGGTTGGGAGAGATCCTGGCAGCCTTTGATGTCCCCAGAGCGTCCCAGCCACCCCCGACGCCAGCCCCGCTTCACCCCTCCCCTGGCTGGTGATCAGATGTCCTGGTGGCCCCGGTCCAGCCTCAAGGTGTGGGGGGGTTGCTTTGATCCTGTCTGACCCAGGCCCATGATGGGGGAGAAGGGGCTCCCGAGATGCCACAGAAACTTCTCAGCTCTGAGAGTGGCTGTGGGGGGGCACGGCCAAGATCAGAGGCGGGTGGCCTTCGGCAGTCCACCAGGCCTCCGCCTCACTCTCCAGGATGCGATGCAGGGGAGTGGCCTGATGGAATGGGGGTTGGGGGAACGTCCTCGTCCCCAGTGCGCAGCTGCCCAGCCTCAGCACTGACCTGAGGCAGGACCTCGGTTGCCCAGGCTGGCCTTGAACTTGCGATGCTCCTCAACCTCTGAGTGGCTAGATGACAGCCGAGTGCCACTGTGCCCAGCTTATTTTTTCGGCGGGGCTGGGGCTGGGACCCAGGCCTGCGTGTGTTAGGCCAGCACTCTGCCTTGAGCTGGCCAGGGCTTCCTCCTTCCCCCAGCGGGTGGCCCTCTGTGGCACTGTGTGGGAATGGCGTCTCTGAAGCCCCAACAGCCTTGGGCACTGCACCAGCTGCTACTGCACTGGACAGAGGGGAAACTGGGCCCTGGTTTCAGCCAATCGCTCAACTACAGAGAGGGGCTCAGCGTCACCCCACGGAATCCCCGAGCCGAGACCCCTGTCCCCAGAGACTGTGCACTGCAGGGCCAGGTACAGGTGTTCCTGTGGGTCCTCGTTTGCCTTCTCGGAACACCAACAGCTGCAGAAGCCACAACCTGTGTGAAACTTGCTCTGTTAAAGGGCCTGTGGGGACTGGGTGTCCATACCGTGGGAAAGCCACTGAACCCCAGCTCTTCTTGCATCATAGAGAAGTTAGACCTCATGGTGACAAATATCCATAAAAATTTAAGAGGGATCTGGGCGTGGCGGCCCAGCCTGTATCCCCAGCATCTCAAGAGGCCGAGGCAGGAGGATAGCACATTGGAGGCCAGCCTCAGCAACTCAGTGAGACCCGTCTCAGAATAAAAAATGAGCAGGGCTGAGTGTGGCGCGTGGAGGCAGAGAGCAGGCAGAGAGCTGCGTCCACATCCCGGTGCTGAAAGGAATCGATAAATAATGAAAGGGGAGACCTACCTCCCAGCTTCCTGTTCTCCCTTCCCCTGGAAAAGCCCTTCAGAGACTCAAAAGGGCAAGGTCAAAAGGCACACCTGAGCCCGGGCTGCTGTGGCGAGTCACAGGCAATGATCATGATGGTCACCCCCTGACACAGCGCAGGGTGGCAGTCACCTGAGCCTCCTTGGGCGGCTGGGGGAGGGAAGCCCTGGGACACGCAGAGGCTCTTCAGAAGACAGAGCCTAAGGGCGCCCCTGTGGCACTGGGGATGGACCCCGGGGCGCTGCCACCGAGTGTCACCCAGTGTCACCCAAAATAGTGTCACCTATTTTGAGATGGGGCCTCCTTAAGCTGCTGGCGCTGGCCTGGGACTCGCATGCTCCTGCCGTGGCCTCCCGGGTGGACGACAGGCCCAGCCCGGGCTCTCCAGAGGTCATGGAACAGTCCAGCAGGGGCCGGTCGGGCCTGCGGTGGCATCAAGAAGCCAGACACCTACAGGCGGGGCCCAGCAGCAGCCCGCTCAAGACAGAGGCTGCTGTCCTAGCCTTGGCACCTCAGGGAGTGACCTTATTTGGAAATAGGGTCCGTGCAGATGGAATCAGTTAGGATGAGGTCATGAGGGTGGGACCTGCTCCGATGTCACTGATGTCCTCACGAAAAAGGAAATCAGGCCCCTGAGTTCCACTCCCGGTACCAAAAAAAGGGGAATTAGGACGCACACAGGGCACGGTCACGTGAAGATGGGTACGGCGGAGGGTCACCACTGTCCACCCGGCTCTCCCCACTGCCCCCACCGTGGCCGGGACATCCGGTGCTCCCGCTCCAGAAGTGAGAGCCTGTGCACTGTTTGCACAATGAAACTTAATTAAAACCCAAGATGTCGCCTGAGCCTCCTCTAATGGGCTCATGACCCTGGGACTCCACGTCACTTTGCTCTTCCTGGCTCCAAACGATCCACATTCCCGGGTGATTCATTAAAGGAATGAAGGGAATCGACGCGGAATGGGCGCCCTTAGGCTCTATCCGAAGAGCTGGGGCCCCCAGGATGGCACGTTGCTACGGAAAGTAGATGCGGGCAGGGGTGCAGCTCCGTAGATGCCTGCTTGTCTAGCATCTGTCCCCTTCCTGTCCCCAACGCAGTGCCCGCTCCTTCTTTTTTTTGGTACTGGAGATCGGTCCAGGCCTCGAGACAGGGCCTCGCTAGGTGGCCGAGGCTGGCCTTGAACTCGGTGCCCTCCCGCCTCAGGCCCTGCGCCGGGGTTACAGGCTGCAGACGCCGCGCCCCTCACCTCCTTTGGGTGGGC